ATTCCGTGAACCAAACAAAAAAATTCCAATTCCATTAAGAATTTCATTCCAATTCCATGCAACCAAACACAATCACAATGCATGGTCAAATTCCATTGAATTCCATTCCATTCCCTCAAAGTCAAATTCAATTGATGAATTCCAATTCCATCGAATTCCATTCCACGAACCAAACAGCCCCTAAGTGTTTCCAACATTAGGAATATGCTATCATTTCCAGCTAAGGATGAAATTGAGGGAAAGACAGAGTTTGATGAGCTACCTTCTGCTGAGGATATGATTGCAGACTTCATATCTCTTGGGTACAATGGAAATCTGACTCTACTTACCTCATTCAAGAGGAAGGACTTGCCTCCTGTATGGTACTGTCTTTTCTTATTGTAAACAGGTGTATATCTGGCAAATCTGGAAGTCAAGATCAAGCCAACAGAACTATACTTACAATCTTTTATGGAATAGCAATGAACAAACATTATGACTATACTACACTACTACTGACAAATATGAATGCTTACATTGTGAAGCCTCAGGCTATATTCAATACCAAAGGTTCTAACAGCTTGCAATCACGGGAGCTCTTTGCCAATCCTCAAATTCCAAGAAGAGAGGATGTTGTTCAAGCACCAAAGTTCAAAATGGACTCTCTAAGGCAATTTTTGCCCCTATCAAAGTACCCAAACCATCAAGTACTATCTGTTGACTTAGGGATTATCTACCATATAAAAATCAGGTACTTAGGAACTATTTCTCTTCTTTAGGGCTACCAGAACCGATAGACCCTACCCAAGAAGGCACACCATTAGTTTGTGAAGTGAGGGGTCAAAAGAATTGAGGGTTGGGGAGGATGTTCATGGGGATGAACCTCCTCAGAGTACTGTTAAGGAAAATGAAATGGGGAGCATGAGTAGCAGAAATAAAAATCAACGGGAGGATGTGAGTACAAGGTTAAAACAAAAAGAAAACCTTGATGTAGTTGTTACCAATTGGGAAACCACACATACTGTTGTTCCATATTTCTTGGTGAACATCATTGAAGAAAGAAGTGAGCCCATGCCAAATTTTGATGTAATCCCACCCCACCACTCATCACCTTCTAAAAAAAGTGATGTTTAAATAACATAATTAAGGCAAGCAACACATAATGTAGTAAGTGCTCATTTGGAAGACCTTGGTATTGAAGAAGAGGAAAATATGTCCCCTCTTCATTTTCATTCTGCATATATTGAGTCTAGGAGTTCACCCAATATTGATCCTAATCAAGCACAAGATGCTTCTTTCTTTCACATTAGCACAAGTCTTACTGACTTCACCATACAGCTTGTGTGTCAAGCTGCAACAACATCCATAGAGGTTCCTCTAATGGATACTCAAAGATTGGACGGAAGACCTGGTGAGATGAACATAGCTGAAGTCTCATTTCATGATACATTCGTTGTACATGATACATTCGTTGTATCCACAGGCTAACCTACTTCTATAGATATGTTAACAGGATCATCTGTTGATCCTGGTTTCCTTGGCACAATTGTTACTAGGAATGAATTCCAATTCTTTAGTAACTTTTGTAAAGATGAATTTGGAGAGATTCATAACAAACTCCATGATTTGACGAAAAATAATCCAATGGTGCATAAGGTGGATAATTTGGGAAATGAACTCCTTGAGAAGCTGGATGAAGTAGACAAAAATTTCATGGCTCTAGAAGAATAGATAGAGAAAGTGCATGCAGATTCTTTTGTAAATAATAGATTAATGCAGAACATTTTAGAGAATTATGTTTCCAAGTTTGAAGTCATTTCTTTCTAATATGAATTTTGAAGAACTTTAAGTTGCTATTCAGAAATATACTTGCTCAATTATCTCAGTCTCAAACTCAGCCTCGGACTCAACCACAAGCGTCTTCTGCAGTGCCCATTTCTGTGGTTATGCAACCTTCTTAAACTGAGTCTTTGCAACTAAAGCCCAAGTGTAAGAAGTTCATAATTAACTCACTGATTTGTAGTATATGGTGAAGCTTGTTCAGAAGGATATTAAAAGTTTGGGTTGTTCTCAAGAAGCTAAGGGGTCAAAAGGGTGCATGATGATCATGAGGGGGAGAAGGATCCTAAAAGACAGAGTTGAAAGAAGTTCTGATCAGGGTTCTGAATCCAGGTCTGTACATTGTGAAGCTGAAGGTGACAAGTCAGAATCAGAAAATATAGAGTTAATGGATTATGATGAAGCAACTGTAAATTTTGATCAAGAAGAACTTTCTAGTTCTGATACAGAAGTGATTTCTTTAAAAGAAGATGATTATGAAGTATCTTTTGAGTTAGTTGTATATACAGCCTATTCAGAAGTAGAAAATTTTGTACAAAGTCAAGAGTTAATGTTACTTGAAAGGATAAAGAGCTTAATCGCATCTTCTGGGGTATGTAGATCACTTGATAGGTTTGTTGATGGATTGTCAATTTGTAGAGACTTCTTCAACCAAGACCTTGTTTTTGAAGTGAGGAACATAAATGTACTTAAAGGCGTAGAGGCCAGGATGTTTGGTCATCTAAGTTGGTTTACAAGGATGGCAGATAACATTCTCTATTGAAGTTATAGGCCATTCATTCAAATCCCAAGGATAAATCTTCCTATGTTGGAAGTTTCTGTGGTAGAACAAATATTCTTGAAGGAACTATTATTTGAAAAGCCTGAAGAGATCATTATTAGCACCATTTTTCCAAAAGTGAACTATATTCTTATGTACAAGGATGTAATAAAGTTTGAAAATGTTGATGAGTTGAATGAAGGGCCAAGTGAGAAGGAGGATCACCTTATTGAGCACATATTGGATGGCAGCTGGCCTGAAGGTTATCTTATGTTCTAAAGATTCAGACAAAATAGTAAAAAGTTGAATGAGAAGAATCCAATAAAGAAAATCAAGAGCCTTGATAAAAGAAGTTTTGGAATGGTCAAGTACTTGTCTTTCTATGTTGTAAGGGAAGACAATTCAGAAGGTGTAATTACAAATGCAGACTTGTACAGCCTAAAGCTTGAAGACCAGATGTTCCTACTTTTTTTTGTGAAAAAGTAGATGAGCCTGTGTTTGAAGTTGAAACAGAAGGATCATGGGAATTTACATAAGGAATTTGTCATTATATGATTTCCAGCTGGCACTTGATAGAAAGTTGGAAGAGATCAATCTTAAGGGGCCCAAATTTGATACATATGATGTACAAATGTAAATACCTTTGTATTCAATCAAGAGATTGGATTTTCCTTTCGAAATCCAAATTCTTTCTGCATAAGCCTTTTCAAAGTTGAAGAAGTTCCTAAATTCTCCAATGCTACTATGGAGTGGTTCCTTAAGCACATAAAGTTGTAAAGCTATGGTGATATGGTAATCAAGTCTGAGATGATCAAGCAGATTATAGAAAGATTAAATCTCAGATCTCTAGTCTCTGAATGTTCCAAAGTCTGTATGATTGAAGAAAAAGAGAAGGAATCCTATCCAAATGATCTGGATTTCCCATTCGAATTCTTTATTCATCTGAACTCTAAATGCTGAGAAGAAGATTCTTGATACTTGTTAATTGATGAAATGAAGATAGACACAGAGAAAGTGATTGAAGAGCCTTCAAAATTAGAGAAGCCAATTGATGAAGTAAGTGTTGTTGAAAAGAAAGAGGAAGCTAAAGAAGAG